TAATTTATTATGCTACTATTAGTGAAGAGAGCATTGAAGATTGCTTTGAGATGGAAAAAGCTTCAGAAGGCAGTATTGATATAGAATGTGTAAAGTTGATAGCCTTCTGTTAAGGAACTGGAATAGGAGGTTTTTTGCTCAGTACTATGACATATATCTATGTTTGAATAGACTGGATTGCTACTAGCTGTAGGTTACATCCTGCTTCTGAGGATTCATGGAGTTTTTGATTTGAAGGTGTATGGTTTGTGATTAGATGATTGTATAGTCAGATATATCAAGTTGAAGACAACAGATGAGTGATGTCAAAGGTCTAATTGCTAAGTATTAGTACCATTTAGTAATACCATAAATGAGATTGTAGATATCTCATTACTCAGACTGCTTTCTCTGATTTGTTTCTCTTTAGTATATTTTGGTGTCCAAAAATTGTCCAACATGCTCTTCAAAGTGCATGAGTAATAAGGGGATAGAAGGTGGAGGAGACTTTGATTGATCAATAATTCTAAATGATCAAGTATATTATAGATGATCTATTAATGTTAATTGCTTGCAAGAGTTGGAATATTGAAAATCTAACCAAGCAAAGTGAGGTTTGGTCTGGATTTTAGCATTATGTTAAAAATAATGGAATACTTATAAAGGAAAGTTCATTTGACTGAGTGAAATATAATTGAAATGATAGTAAAGACTTATATTTATTGACATTGACAATGACAGGACTATCAACACATTGATTTAAAAAAGAAAGACCAAAGTCAGCATAGTGAAAGAGATGAGTGGGAAAGCCCATTAATATGACAATCTTAATTACTTTATTGAGGAACACTTATCAATAACATGAAAGACAAACTGAGGTTGAGTTTAGATCTTGGCAATGAGTTGAGGAAATACAAAGACCTAAGTGAACATAGTGAGGTTGGGTCTGGGACTAAGCATTGAGTTGAGGAAATACAAAGACCTAACCAAACATAGTGAGGTTGTGTCTGGGACTAAGCATTGAGTTGAGGAAATACAAAGACCTAACTAAACAAAGTGAGGTTGGGTCTGGGATGAAGCATTGAGTTTGAAATACAAGGACCTAACTGAACAAAGTGAGGTTGGGTCTGGGATGAAGCACTGAGTTTGAATTACAAGGACCTAACCAAACAAAGTGAGGTTGGGTCTGGGATGAAGCATTAAATTTGAATTACAAGGACCCAACTGAATGAAGTGAGGTTGGGTCTGGGATGAAGCACTGAGTTAGAAATACAAAGACCTAACCGAACGAAGTGAGGTTGGGTCTGGAAATTAGCATTGAGTTTGAAATACAAGGACCTAACCGAACAAAGTGAGGTTGGGTCTGGGATGAAGCATTAAGTTTGAAATACAAAGACCTAACCAAACGAAGTGAGGTTGGGTCTGGGATGAAGCATTAAGTTTGAAATACAAGGACCTAACCGAACGAAGTGAGGTTGGGTCTGGGATGAAGCATTAAGTTTGAAATACAAGGACCTAACCGAACGAAGTGAGGTTGGGTCTGGGATGAAGCATTAAGTTTGAAATACAAGGACCTAACCGAACGAAGTGAGGTTGGGTCTGGGATGAAGCATTGAGTAGAATATCGAGGACCTAACCGAACGAAGTGAGGTTGGGTCTGGGATGAAGCAAGAGCTACAGGCCCGTGCTGAAGGCACGGGGCGTAGCTCGTCTATATACTATGCGACGACCCCTGGGAAAGTGGCTGTGCCTCAATCTTCCAACAACCTGGGAAGATTCCTTATGTAATGCTTATGTAAAATTACGTAAGTTGGCTGGCTTCAAATTTTCGGCCTTTTCCTTTGGTGTGTGGCAAAGATCAATCATTGCACCGAATCACTCTTTCTTTTGACCTCTCTTTCTAATATGAAGCATCAACCATTCTCTCTGCTCTGATACTGTGAGAAGAAGCTTTGTTTGGCCTGATAGACTCTACTGACCCTCTTTTGGAGGTTTTTACACTCAACCTGGCCATGTATGCTCTACTGTTTGTCATCTCCAATCACTGATCATAGCTGATAACTAGATTTCCACTATTGCATCCTTCTTCAGGCTTTTTCTGAGCATTGAGTAGCTTTCTCTTCTTTCAGGTGGGCTTTCTTTTCTTTGCTTAATTGTCCAATAGCTGATTTTGGTGGTTGTTTCTATATTGAAGCTGAATTGGGCTAGGTGTACTCTTTTTTTGAGTGTAACTTTTAGGGACAAATCATGGCTGAAATCAGACTTCACTACATTCTTCATTAGGCTCCCTTTCTGAGTGTTCAGTAGCTTTGCAGGTATGCTTTTTCTATATTTGTCTGAGAACTAATTCAAGTATTATCCATTTTCTTTTCTAAACAGTTATTGGCTTTCTGCTTTTAAGGTAGATCTCTTTCAAACACCAAATTGCTAATCTCTGTGAATTTCAGCACCTAATGTATATGAGTTGACAGTGTAGTATAGATATTCTCAATAGTTCTGGGACTTAGCATTGAGTTTGAAATACAAAGACCTAACCGAACGAAGTGAGGTTGGGTCTGGGACTTGGCATTGAGTTTGAAATACAAGGACCTAACCGAACGAAGTGAGGTTGGGTCTGGGACTTGGCATTGAGTTTGAAATACAAGGACCTAACCGAACGAAGTGAGGTTGGGTCTGGGACTTGGCATTGAGTTTGAAATACAAGGACCTAACCGAACGAAGTGAGGTTGGGTCTGGGACTTGGCATTGAGTTTGAAATACAAGGACCTAACCGAACGAAGTGAGGTTGGGTCTGGGACTTAGCATTGAGTTTGAAATACAAGGACCTAACCCAACGAAGTGAGGTTGGGTCTGGGAATTAGCATTAAGTTTGAAATACAAGGACCTAACCAAACGAAGTGAGGTTGGGTCTGGGATGAAGCATTGAGTAGAATATCGAGGACCTAACCGAACAAAGTGAGGTTGGGTCTGGGATGAAGCAAGAGCTACAGGCCCGTGCCGAAGGCACGGGGCATAGCTCGTATGGAGAAAGAGACGTCGATCCAACTGCCGTTGGCCTTGCCTTATGTAATCAGGTCGGAAAGTGACCTTGAATCAATACTCACCTCAGCTGAACAGATAATACGGAAGCGTCAAAAGTGCTACTGAGTCGAAATTGCTACCTCTGCTACCGGTTACCTGGTGATAGAATCTGCGGAAGACCTGTCCTGCTTATTTGTGGCTGAGGTCATTGATTGTCCCAAATCAGTAAATTAGGTACTTATGTGTATAAGTTAGCAACTTGTTACATCTAAGTTATGGCAACAGCTGGTTTGTTCCTGAGCCTAAAGTGTGCTCAATTCTCTGTTCCGTTCGTTCAGTTTTACTTCATCACAGTGCGGGCATCGGATATTCCCACAAATTGTAAGCGGCTACCAGTTCATAGTTTACAACATCAGGCGGGTTTTCACCCGTAATTTGAGGACAGGAGTTCACCAGCTTTTGCCGTTTTGATCAGGCAATGCTTGAACTTCTTAAAAAAGTGGACTGGACAAACCAATGAGCACCCCTGATGGGATGGTGTATGGCTGTGGATCTGATTCTGGAGAAAATATCGTCGTTGAAAGTGTTAACTGAATGCGTGACATTCTTCAATTGCGATATTGTGGTGGTATGTATCGAATGCAAAATCCGTGAAAACAATCGGGCCGGCTTCAGAGTAACCCTAACCCGAATCGTGGAAAAAAGTAAAACTTGGCGAGACGTCACGGACTTGTTTAGTTTTCTCCCAACTGCACCAAAATGGCTCGTCGTTCTGCACCTGGCTCCGTCCCGTCATATATGCCCCATCCATCACAAAGACGCACCGTCGGCGCTCACGATGAAGACCAGTCTGCTTTCTCGAGGTGAGCCTTATCGCGTGCGAGGTCTAAGCTCGAATATCCTGACTTTGAACTAGGTTCCTCCAGACCGAACTCTTCGCACCTGAAAAGCTTCCAGGAAACATAAATCTTCTCGTTGGTGTTACTATGTTCTTCGGGGGTATCTTGGCAGTGAGGACGTGGGGCGAGTTAATGATTCCTGCGTGATGTGTATATTTAAAAGGTGCGTCGTATCGATGTCGTTGGCTTGAACTGACACGAGTGTTGACAGTACTTATGCCATTTGTCGCATTTTTTTATCATGTTTGACGATCAATAATATGCCCTCCCGTTATCTTGGAAGTCGCTCGCAAGAGTTAGCGGGTTCCTACAGAGGTTATCGGTTGTCAATTGCTAAACCCTTCCGTGCTTAGAACATCGTTAATGCGACAAATGCTATGTTGGTAGGGATAAGGCTATCATGTATGAAGTGCCTGCCGGCATAATAGCTTATATGTGAAGTTATCTTGGTGATGCTTCATGACAAGGCCAATTTGTTGAGATTTTTCTCCAGGGCAGGAGTAGGAAAAGGATCCAGGATGGCATAGATGAGGGCTCTGGTCGACGAAGTGAGGTCATAGTATGTAAATTTAAATCTGATTGGGGGGATGTAAACTAATAGGGAGAGAGACAAGAAATTCAAGGCGATGGAAGAGATGTTTGATCGATAGCAGCCCGCGGGATCTTTGAACATAATTCCCAGTATTCGAGATGGATTGATGAACGTTGAACGTTGAACCGTCGACGTCTGAGTTTGACCTTAGGATCGACTATGCATGCAGTGATGGTGGACTCACAGATGTGACCAGTCTCTTTAAGTGACCTATGAAGACAAGCTTGAGTAGGTTGTACTCTACTTTTGTGAATGTTGATCATGTCTGTATATGCTCTTTGATGGAAGTAACTCATATTGTAATGTCTGTAGATTTACAGATCTCATGCAAAAAGTGACCAGGGAAAGGTCGGGTTAATCCACTGTTCAAGATTTTCATTAGAGGAAGTTCCCTCAAGACTTGGGAATATCTTATCCTAGAGGTCGGCGGGATGCAAATTCCCAGTTCTTGTGGAGCGACAAGTTTGACGTAACATATTATAATGTCTGTAGTCTGCCTTGGTTCGTAGTCGGATATGGTGTAATGGCTAACATTGCCGCCTCTCATTTCATGGTGTCATCTTGACATGTCCGCGGCAGCTCGGGGTTCGATTCCCCGTATCCGAATCGAGGTGAATCCTAACTTTTTCTCATTTTTGTGTGAAAGGACTGACCAGTTTCAGAAATCATTGCAACTCAAGACAGACAAAAAATTAGATGATTATTTATATATAACATTAGACCGCCCGTGACAGACGCGTACTCGAGAACATCTTCACTCTTGTCTTATTGCCAACTCCATCATTCCAAACATAAGAGATGTCGGTAAGATATATGGTTATGAATATGACTACGAAGAGAATCCAGCATGTGAAAACCAAACGAAGAATGAAGAAGGAAGGCCGCTTGCGGTTATAACGAAGCCATCTTCTCCAACAACACCTTCCTCCCTTTTGCCTGCCCACCTTCCACCACCCCTCTAACCTCATCCCCAAACCAGCCCTTCACCTCTCTCCTGACCTCACTTCTCTTCTCACCATCCCTGAACAAGGCCTCACATAGCTCCGCCACCACAAACGCTCCATTCCCTTCACCCAAAGTACACATACCCAGCGTAACATCCTTCCCCACGATCTTTACGAACTCCTCGGCGAATAGACCAGTATCCCAATTCGGTGCGAGATCAACGGATTTCGTAGCGTGGTTGAAATGTCCGCCTTGGAGAAGGGTTTTGTAAAGTCGGGAGGTGTGTGGGAGATCGATCAGGTGTGGGGATGAGGGGTCAGCGGATGGGTAGGAGGTGGAGATGGCACGGAGGAGGGATTGGGATGCGGACGTTCGATCTGTACGCGAATTTACTCAGGATTATACTCAGAGATACTGGAGGGAAGAGACGCACCCCCATCAGCGAAAAGCATGATTTCTGCTGCCACGAGACTGCCTCCTGGCTCTTTTATGATGTTCGCTGTGTTCTGCTCCAACCACGATAAAAGAGCTTCACTTGCGTACTTTCGGACCTCCTCTTCGCGTGCTTCGGGTGCCTTTTTACTTGTCCGAGACCGTATGTCGTCTGTCTCGGCAAGTAGTGCAATCTGCACGGGTGTGAAATGGCGTCTTGTACGTGGTACGAGGAGGTAGAACAGGGCACGGCGACCTTGAGGTGAAACGAGGAGGTTTGTCGCTGGACCGGTCATTTCTGCAATAAGGGACTTCGAGACGAGTTTGGTGTCGCTGGGTAACCGTAACGATCAGAGCAGAGAGGAAGGGGGGCATGATGACTCACTCAATGACATCGAGGGCCGTGAACAAGACCATTTGCGCATCATCGTCAAGACACATACGCTCAATATGTGGCTTAAGCACCTTGAGGATCTGTTTTCGGTCTTTGGCAGTCCCGTATGCAAGGAACTCCCGAACGACGCGACTACCGTCTTTGGTGTGTACCATTTCGGCCAAGACTTCCTGACACGTCTCGAACATCTCTCGACGTAGCTTATCGCGCTCGGTTTCGTCGGGAACATCGTTCAAGGCAGAGAGGTATTCCCAGAGGGCACGATGTACGACGGCGTGTGTTACGGCACCTTTATCGGGGTTATTGAAACTGTGTAAGGAGTAAATAGGCGAATGAGTAAACTATAAGAGTGCGCGTACATTGTGACGAGGTTTTCTTTGAGAGCGTTTAGGACTCGCCGTCTTCTCTCAACATCCGTACCTTCCAGTACGCCCCTCAGACCCTTTTTAGCTTTCTCCTTCTCCTCGTCACTACCTCCGGATGTGGTGAACAGCATCGTTTCCTTGCCGTAGAAATCACGAAGGAGAAGTGTTCGCTCATAAGCGTTAGCATAAAGCTCAAACGTATCTGCGAGCACGGATGTTGCCTCCCTATGTAAGAGGAGACGAAGGACGTTGCCTTGAAACTCCATTAAAATGGATGCTCGATGAGCCGGACATAATCGAATCAATTTCGTTATTAGGAACTGTACACTCTGTTAGAGACGTATGAGAGATGACACACATCTGGACCGGACATACTTTAGAATATTTATTCTGGGCCAACTCCTTATATTTTCCCGTAAGCTCCTGGGCAACCTCATCGCGCTCCTTCTGCCGACCGTACTTTACCACAGTTTGCACTATACGGCTCGCATCATGCTTGAAGACGATCTCCTTGACCATTCCACGAATAACGTTCATGAGATCCTGGATGTGTTTCTGTCGTTCTGTCGTCGGTATGTTTTTTTGCCGCGCCAGCGACCATACGCGTTTTGCGTCGCTAAGCAATGATGAATGTGGCTTCGCAGCGCGCCGCTGCTCGTGTATAGCCTTTTGTGCCTTGTGCGATTCGCGAGAGGCTGTAGAAATTGAATAGATAGTTAGACCTTGGTCCTTAGATGACGTACCGTTTGGATCTTTCGCTTGTATAGGTTTGGGTGGTGCTGCATCTGGGATATTCTCGTCTAGAATTTTATCATCTACATTGTCCATGTCCACAAATTCGTCGTCATCTCCTTCAAAGTCATCAAAGTCATCGTCTGATTCCGCAGAAATATCTGCAGTAGGCGCCGGTGCAGTTACAGGCTGACTCCGCTTTTTCTCAGCTTTTGCGGGCTGTTCAAGCTGTACTTTCTTGGGTTTAGGTCCAGTTTGCGTAGGTGCTTGTCTTTTCTTCAAAGCGGGCATAATTACAGAGAAGAAAAATGAACGGAATCCGCGAGAAGAGCTGTCAAGAATCGCGATTTCCAAAACTTTTTCGATCGATGACTGTTTGGCAAATGCTTGAACAATCAATACGTCGACGTCGTTGACCGTGAGGCCCGCTCTTTCTCGTTCATGATCATCTACGATCTAGGCTACCGTCATGTAAGGCCTTTCGCCTGTTTCTTGGCCTGTTGTTGAATGTCAATTTCAGGCCACCTAGAGGCGGATTTAGGAGGAAAGCTGCCCTCGATGGGGATGCAACACCATTGACACCTGTAAGGACGCGGTTGAGCATTTTTGTTGAATCTCCTTGTGATTCTTGCGGAAAAACAGTCCTTGGGTGAACAGCTCTCTTACCTACACAATCCACGGCCGTTCAAGAACCCAAATTACACGAAGAACATTAATCGACGCGCCAAGAACGTGAAGAACGTTCTCAGTCAAGAACGCGAGCGCGACCGTTTGGAACGCGAAAAGAGGAGACAGGAGAAGTTGGACGGTGATGCTATGGATGTTGATGGAGAAGAAGATATGCCTTCTTGTGAGTTGTCTACAGGTACTTAAATCATCGTTATGGTTGAATAATGGCAGACACGTCTATCGAGGCACCTCCATCCCTACTCCCTCATAAACATTATTGTGATATAACGGGACTTGAAGCCCCGTACACGGATCCAGCGACCGGTCTTCGCTATCATGACAAGAGCGTTTACGATGTTATAAAGAATTTGGTAAGTCATGGTCAATCTTTATGAGCTCTCGCCTGACTGCTGCCCATAGAGTACAAGCTCTGCCAAAGAATATTTAGCAAGTACGTTTCATTCTAATTCGCGTCTCTGACTGATCTAATATCTGAATCTTCTATAGCTCGAGGCGTTAGTTCAATCGTCAAATAAGCCTTATATTGCCTGTACTATCCTATCGTCCATTGTTCTAACGTTGTACAACATGTTGGCTTATCTGTCTCGTATCTTCGGCATCATATAATTCTGCTGCCCAATCTGATAGCATCGAAGTCTATCTGCATCTTAGGTGTCGATTCTGATAGTTCCGCTTGTGCGCGTTTGTGCTTCTCGATTCCGCAGAAAACGATTTCCACCATGACTAGAACGTGGGACTTTTACTGCAACCTTCTTATCATTACGCAGTTCAAGGGATTCAACTAAAAACAATCAAACTTTGTATGATGAAAACTGATATCTTAGTGCTTAGGATGTACATCTCTCTAGAGCCCGCCTGATGGTGACATGTATAGTGTGTGATCCAGAATCATGGAAATTATGGTGTCTATCATAGGGATTAAGCGCTGGTTTGACTCTCATGCATCATGCTTAAGCTAGCGCTTAAGTTGCAGCAGGGGGGCAACTTTCATGCCTTTCCTGCGAAATTCCTTCGATTATGTAAGACGTGTTTGACATCCAGAACGACACGCAAGCACGAAGTTGCACGGTCAGTGACGTCACGACCAATCAACCCATTAGGGCTGCGGGCAAACGCGTCCCCCATTATATCACATCTCTATATCACATCTCCGTTTTCCCCCCTCTTTCTGTCAACGGGTCGGACGTCAACGACGGGTGTAATGTGCGTTGGCATGTATGTAGCGGTCCCGAGTGAAACCTCGGCCCCCGAGTACAACTGGGAGTCGGTATCTTGTATGTCCTCCTCCCAATCCTACTACGGCCTGCTCCATACCCGGATCACTTTGATCAACCCATCAATTTCAAAACCGTCACTGACATCTACTGACATACCCCTTCCCAAGGGTCTAGCCTAGCCATGACTCAAGCACTCAAGATCAATAATTTGTTTCAAAGTCTCGTGCGATAGAAACTTTCCGTTGAGTATTCTGAAACTCACGCCCTGGAATACTGTACGTTGAATTCTTTGGGGCTTTTTCAAACCTATGGATACCCAATTTCCAAATTGACCACTTATGCGTCTGCATTATACCAGAATCAATCAAATAATATACCGTTGTATAGATTTTGCGGGAATCTGACTGAGGCAGAACCTCAACTTTTGTTTGAATTCACCAACTACCTCAGGTAAGAGTTGATGATAATTGATCACAGCCCTACCGATGCAGAAGCAAGCTCGACATAAAGGCATGTATTTGCTCTGCGGCCGCGAAAGGTGAGGTCTGAACACGATTTGAGCTCAGTATCCCCAACTTGTGGGACTTGATTTCTAGTATGCGACCATTAGTGCGACCATGCGTACATCTTCTTCGGACTATCTCATATCTCTCCGGCCCTCGGTGTTCGCTGTCCCGGAACCCCTTGAAACTTGACCTGTACCTTGTTCGCCTTGTGCATGAGAAGACAAGTTGCAATTTGCCCGTATTCAGGGGTCACCTGTCACCCTCTTTTCGTTCAATCTTTGATCTACATTCCGATATTTACTTGTTGTGGCGCGCTGTGTACAGA